TATCTTTTTTCTTACGTCTTTTACAAAAAAATATTTTACATAGAAATTTTAAAGAGCACATTAGATAGTATTATGTGACCTTAGATGACGTCGTCAAGATCTGGTCAAAGTCACAACTTTTTAAAATGGAAACCCCCATTTTTCATTGCATGTTCTTATAGCTTATCATGAGAGCCTCTTCGAAACATTATAAAATAATATTTTTTCATTAAATATTTTTTGAGTTATGAGGCGTGAAAGTTATAGTTCAGCTTGACGTATTAGGGCGCGTTCAGATTGGCTACTGCTTTTCCGTTTTTTGCTTTTCCGTCAAAGTGTGAATGCACTCTTACTCAAGTATTTGATCGATGGTTACAATCTTTTGAATGTTGTTCAGAGTCATGCTCTGGGTAACATTTATTAAGATCAAAATCATTGAAAATTGCTTCTCTTATTTTCATTTTAGTACTAAAAATTCATTTTTACGTAAAAATGAAAATAAGAGGAGCAATCTCCAATGGCTTTGTATACTGAATGTATCTAAAATAACGCCCACTAATCGTAATACTATTCCTAATAAAAAACTAAGTTGAAAGTTTTCCATCATTTTGCAATAATTTTTACAATAATTAACGAGATATTAATTTTTAAAGATGCCGAATAAATAAACGGATAATATTGATGAATAAGACAAGTTTAAGATATCAATTCTTTTCAATTCTTTTGGGTATTATTTGGTGGGCATTATTTCAGATACATCTTGTATATAAATATTCTTTTTAAAGGAATAAAAGAAAAGAATTTACAAATATATTACTTGTATGAAACAGATAAACAGTACAAATATATATATATATATATTGGGTTGTCCGGAAAGTTCATGCCGATTTTGAAGGAAAATTGAAACGCAGAAGATTTAAATTTTTAATTTCATTTATTAAATTTAAATCTTTTGCGGCACGATCTTTCCGGACAATATATATATATATATACATGTACGCAAATATACATATATATATTAAAACATATATTAAAATTTCGATAAAATAATAAAAAGTTTTAAATCCTTTATTTTGCTTATGAAAGTAATATTTATTAAAAGATTTATCAATACTTAATTAAAAGATAAAATTGTACGCATTGACATAAATTGATGTAAATACTCTAATAAATAGATTGGTTATCATTATATTACACATTTTCAAAAGAGTTTATTAATTATTTTTTTTTTGTTATATATTTTTAACATCATAATAACAGCATTATTAAGAAAGTTTATTTTTATTCTACTGCAAAATGTTTATAACTTTTTTTTATTACATCATTCATGTTTATGTCAATATGTACAATAATTTAAAAATTGCAAATTCTCAATTTTATTAAAATTGAGTTTTTATGTTACAATATTGTACATATATGTACATGCATACAGAGTGTTCAAAATAGCAAAATTTATATAATTTAATAAATTTTTTAAATAATAATTTTATAAAATAATATAGTAAATACGTGGCTGTCAAGATGATTAATTAATCTTATCTTTTTCTTAGAAATAAATTAAAAACGGTAAAAAAATCTACAAAAAGACTCTATACTAATGAGCTTAAAATTTTCAAAAAAAGAGATAAAAGATTGGTGCCAAATTTAATGAATGTTGCTCATAAAATATATTACTAACTATAGACTAAATATAAACTTCAATTTTTTGCGCCAAGTTTTTTTTACATGAAAGTGATTATATAGAAATACTGTTTACTGAGTAAAAATAAAATAAAACTTACAGTGTAAACACTCAAATCGAATGCATTGCTGCCTTTATCGTCTTTTATCTGCTGCGGCAAGCTATCACGAGGTTCGTCAACGATATAAGTATAGAATGACAGCTTCATTATCTCATTAGTTACATTCGTTGCGTGTCGGAAGAAGCAACCGTTCTTCGCTATGTTGCTATACAATTTTCCATTTCTTCTTCTATTACTGGCATTCGCGCAGTTTTTTGCCTCTGGCGATACAGCACGAATACCACAAATTGTACCAGATGTAGAGGCTACCAAGAAGTGTGGCTATGAGGTACGTAAATTAATTGCTAATTGAAATAATTAGGCATATAACACAAATTGCAATTCCGCTTTCAAAGATTTGTATCAATTTATATGTCATATTTGAACGTTCTGCTACATAATGATAAAAATTGCGTTTTTATTACATTAATTTAGTAGTTAATTTGATAATTATGCAGTATCCACCTCCAATTTTCCTGTAATTTGTAAATTTCAAAAATTATAGGAAAATCGGAGGTGGATACGTTATACTTATATAATATTTATCATTAATTTAATTCATCTGATATATACAATATTATAAAATTTTATAACTAATTACAAAAGATAGAATATATCTAGTATATACTTTATCAATTTTAGGCATGTCATCCTACACATCCTAAGAAACTTAACATTCACATGGTTTCACATACTCACGACGATGTTGGTTGGTTAAAGACTGTCGATCAATATTACTTTGGAAGTACGTAAATGATAAAATTATATAATTACAAAGAATGTATAAAATTAATAATGAAATTAGGAAAATATGACAAAGGAAAAATATGTTTGTTTGTATTTTTGAGAAAGAGAGGAGATATAATAAAACTAAAAAGTATTATATAAGAAAATAATGCATTTTACAGTTATAATATTTTAATTAATATAATTGAAGATTGTTTGGTTATGATCATTATTACTTTCTTGTGTGCGTGTGCGTGTGTATGTGTGTGTGTGTGTGTGTGTGCGTGTGTGTGCGTGTGTGTGTGTGTGTGTGTGTGTGTGTGTGTGTGTGTGTGTGTGTGTGTGATATGAAAGCCTAAAAGCTCCTTAGAAGCTCAAAAATATCTTAGAAGATTCCTGAAATGAGATGGAATTACACGTATCACTATATACATAGTAGTGTCATATTTTTTTAGAAAGATTAGAGATTTGTTATTTTTTTATTACTTAATATTTACTAGATTTAAACACTTATAGATTTCATTTTTTACAACTTCGTAATAAAAATTTTGTATTCACCGAGGTCGCTCTACGATTCAAAAGGCTGGTGTGCAATACATTCTCGACAGTGTTATCAAAGCACTGCTAGCTGATCCAAGCAGAAGGTAATTCAACCTGAAATAATACACAATCATCAATGTGATAAAGATTCGTAATA